ATATCAATGCTCGGCGGCCATAACTATAAAGAAATGTACTTAAAATAATATCTTTATGCAGAGAAAGATGATTTATGTTTTGTTTGTTTTTTTGAAGTGTGTGTGTGATCTCGCGAGTTTACGCGATCTTTGCCAACAGCCATTTCGCATTAGGTTTGCCGTGGAGCCCCGCCGCTGTCAAAACACTTCGCCATTTCAGTCCAGGAGGAGGAACTGGGTCAGCGGAGCGGAGCTGGCAGCTTCTTATTTTCAGTCCTCGGTTAGTTGGTTCCGATGCGAATGACCTGGCTGGTTCCGATGAGCTTTTTCTTCGTGGGGCCCGGTTGAAGAGTAAAGTTAGCTTTCGGATTTCCTTCTTCCAGCTACTGAGCTAGCTGTGTGAGTAAACAAGGTAAGATGATGCTCCGCCGAAAAGCTGAACTAGTAAATATCACATAATCGAGTTGGTATCAGCGACAGACAGGATGCTTACATGAAAGAGCATGTTGCTTTTAGCCAAAAAAAAAAAAAAAAAAAGCTTTTAGCAGATTATATACAAGATGATGTAAAGTTAGCATTAAGTTACATTCATTGCTGTTGTGATTTAAAGAAGATGGCTCACTCGATGCGGAAAAGCTTAAAAGTTTACTTCTTTATTTGCCACTAATTCCAACCTGTATGTGAGGTTTTTGATCTTATTTGCAGTTATATTAATAATCGTCACGTTTCTCACGTTTTCCAGTGGGACACCTGACGTCACATTGTCATGGTCACGTTGTGATTTCAGCAATCAGAGAGAAATGTTTGCATGTTTTCTGTGGTTTGTTTTGTACTAAAAAAAGAAACCTGGAAATGCACTAATTTACTCCAACTGAACAACCCACACTCATAGCAATCTTTATTCTATACTTATATTTACAAAAGGTAAACAAAAGGATTTAAATGTTGGTAAATGAATTCTTCTTTAATTTAGCTGTGCAATCCCTGTCTGTTCTGTATCTAAATAGCTGCACAGTGGAAATAAAACTAAAGGAAACTCACTTTGTTGATGCTTTTGCTTAGATTGATTATATTCATCCTATCATAGTGATAATAGTCCAATGTTTTCCAAATCTGAAGACCATAAATAGGCTCTTGTGATATATGAGCCCTCAGCTCTGAGGCAGTGCTGCAATTTTCTTTTCAAGGTTTCAGGAAAACCTTGAAAACCAAGCATCTCAAAACAGTCTGTTGTTGCACTCAGAGACATAACCTAAAACTGGATGATACAAGGAGGGACGGGGCTTTTTGTTGAGTTTACATTTCAGCTTGCCTTGAGAGGGGAAACCAGACACTTTCATTCTGTATAGAAGGTGGATTTGATTGGCTTTCATAGAAGAACAAACCTCTCCCAATTCTGTTTGTATTTTTTTTTTATAATTTCTAATTTAGAGCTCAATTCTGCCATATTTTTAGAACTTAACACCTCTTAGAAAGATGTTAGATATTAGATGGAGCTACAAGGTTTTAGAGCAGAGATTTTTTTTTGTTTTTGCTTATATGAGGAAGCATAATTCTCTTTCCATCTTAGGTTAGATTTTTTCATAATTAAAAAGCCAGGCATGTTTGTTTCAGGATGAAACGGATGAAAGGAGGAGAGGAGGCGAGTAGCGGTGAAAGCCCACCCGAGGTTTGCAAAAAGGTGCGTACGGAGGAGGAAGAGGAGCCCGTGGCAGACTGCGATTCTCCAGACTGCGACTGGACGCTGCTGCCTCAGGAGATCCTGCTGCATATTTTCCAGTATCTCCCCCTGCTGGACCGGGCTTACGCCTCGCAGGTGTGCCGCGGCTGGAACGAGGCTTTCCACATGCCAGAGCTGTGGAGGTGCTTCGAGTTCGAGCTCAATCAGCCGGCCAGCTCGTACCTTAAAGCCACACATCCCGACCTCATCAAGCAGATTATTAAGAGACACTCCAACCACCTCCAGTACGTCAGCTTCAAGGTAAGAATAAAACAACAAAAGCTACATCCTTGTGGACTCTGCCGCTTTTTTTCTCAGTGGAAGTGTTTTTTTTTTGTACTCATCAGGTGGACAGTAGCACAGAGTCTGCGGAGGCAGCTTGTGACATTCTGTCACAGTTGGTGAATTGTTCACTCAAGACCTTGGGGCTCATTTCTACAGCCAGACCCAGCTTCATGGAGGTTCCAAAGGTATAACCAGAGCTTGCAAGAACTCTCCTTTGCAAAGTCAAACAAACAACAAGGAGCGTCGCTGTTTTAGGCTAACACCTTTTGAAGTTTTGATGCATTTAATTCTCTTACTTTGTTGCCAACAAGTTAGTTTTTGTTACCATCTACAGATAAGGTTGAGAAGTGGTGTCTGTCTCAGTCACGGACAAGGTCAGACTTCATTCATTTGGCCTCGAAACGGAACATGATGTTATTGTTTAGTGTTCCTTGGTGCACAGAGATCTCCTTTTTCAATCCTTGTAAAATGGTCACATGTGTTCAGGGAAAAATCCTTTAATGTTAACTCTGTGGAAGCCTGAAGCTTTATGGGCTCACTAAGACTACGTTCACACTGCAGCCTGAAGTGACCCAAATCTGATTTTTTTTGCCCTTATTCGACCTGAATTTGATCTTTTCATGGCTGTCTGAGCATCACAGATCCGATTTTTTTCCAATGCGATCCAGGCCACTTGGCTATGTGGTCCTGAATCCGATACGAATCTGATCTTTTTAAATGCTACCTGTGTGTGAACAGCCACGTCGGATTCATCCGAAGAGCAGTATTGATGCGAAGAGCAGTATTTATGTTTCCCCATATTGAAAAGATTGTGTTTTTATGGTTGGAAAAAACCACTAGATGTGCACCGGCTCTACAATCCACGTTTACTTCCGTAAAAAAGAACACTCTGGCCTGTGACGTCATTGCGTCCTCTACTGCGCACGCGGGACACTTGCATTGTATGAATGCAGTTCACACAGGAGATTACATACAAGTCGCATATATTTGAAAATATGAACGGCAACATGAAAAAAATCGGATTCCGCAAAAAAAAACGGAATTGAGCATCAAGGCCTGCAGTGTGAACGTAGCCTAAGGGGTATACTGCTCGCTACACTGACCTTTATATTAGGTTCTAGATAATTATATGTATTTTTATAATTGTGTTAAACCTATAATTGTGTTTTTTCAGCTTTTAATCTCAATTTAAATCAAAAACACACTCATATGGTTGATTATGTGACCTCTGCCCCTGCCTGTCTTCATTTATTTCTCTAATCTGTGTATTTTTAAAGTATTTACAGTCATTACTGATATGATGACCTAATTATTCAGCGGTAAAGCCGTCACTCAGTATGGCGTCCTTAGAGCTGATGTTTCCATCTCCTCAGTCTCACTTCATCTCGGCTCTGACCGTGGTGTTCGTCAACTCCAAATCTCTGTCCTCGCTGAAGATCGACGACACGCCGGTGGACGATCCGTCCCTGAAGGTGCTGGTGGCAAACAACAGTGACACCTTGAAGCTGCTGAAGATGAGCAGCTGCCCTCATGTTTCCCCTGCAGGTAAACGGTCAATCATGAGAAATATCCAACACCTTTTATTGTTCACCTTTTTAACGCCCCAACCGCAAGATTTTATGAATTTATTTGGGCTGCATAAGACTAGAAAAAAAACTAGTGAATGTGTGTGGATAATAGACTCTTAATAAATTGTTAAATGTTTGCTTTATTTTTACAAATTAAAATCTGTTGAGTATAGCTTGCTTTCAGGTTCCTTTACTTTGCTATGCACTGGAATAAAATCTAGTGCGAACAGTTCTCCAGTCCTGCGTTTAGACAGATGGCTGACATTAACTCTGGAGGAGCTGCAGAGATACACACCTCTGTTCCATATGTGGAACAGGAAAAAAGGGGTTTTAGTCTAACCAAACTGATCCTGCAAATCATCCTCAATGATAAAACATGGTATTGACACCATAATGCTGTGGGGATTACTTTCTTTAGCTCATCAGAGTATATTGGCACAAAACACAGAGCAATACAGTAAGAAAACCTGCCAGGGGCTGCAGCGACATGTGGGTGAAAGGGTCAGCCTCCATCAGAGTGGTGACTCTTAAGCAGAGTCTACAGGCGAGAGGCAGGGTACATCCTGGACAGGTTGACTGCCTGTTGCAGGGCAATAGAGAGACACAAAATGACACACAACCATTCACACACACACACTCATACCTAAGGAGAATTTAAAGTAGCCAATTAGCCTAACAGTCATGTTTTTGGACTGTGGGAGGAAGCCGGAGTAACTGGAAAGAACCCCTGCATGCACAGGGAGAACATGCACACGCCATGCAGAAATGCACCGGGCCGGGAATCGAACCTAAAAGGTAACCTCAAGGTAACAGTGCTACCCACTGCACCACTGTGCAGCCCCTACTAAAAGTCACTAAGGTTTATGGTCATAATGTGACTAAAACGTTTTGATATACTGACTTTGACGGGTTAAGATTAGGGCTGCAACTAAACATAATTTTGTTAGTTGATTAATCATTAGATTATTTTTTCAATTAATTGATTAATAATCGGATAGCAAAAGGATCCTTGAAAAAGATCTTTTACAGAATTAAACCAGGTGAAACTAAAGCTTTTCCACATCAGGAGTTCTTCATAGAGCAACCGTGACAGAAGAAAATGTTTTTTTTTTGTTTTAAATGCAAAAGCTTTGTTTATATTTTTCCAGTTTTGGTATAATTACTGCTCTAAGTGGATTTCTCTGTCATTTAAAGACATGATTTAGAGTCTCTATCCTCCAGTTAATGAATCGATTACTAAAGCAGTTGCTGATTATTTCAATAATCGATCAATAAAGATTAATCTGATTAATATTTTCAGCTCAAGCCAAGATTTTGTCTTATTTACATTTTTTTTTTCTGTGTGGGTGTTTGTTATTCATGTCTAAAAGAGTTTATTTGTATTAATTCGTATTGTGTTATTTGGAGCCTGTGCTTTCCTCTCTAATGTGAGCTCCCACTGTGGCGTTGGTTATGAAAGGACTGTTCTGCGGTTTCTCGCTGTGACACACATTTTCCTGGAACTGTTTCTGATGTGCAGCATAGGCAGTCCCTGTTGATTCATCTGCAGATTTCCAGAAAAATATGATGAACAGTTCTGTTCCAAACAAAACAAATAAATAAATAAAAGCAGGGCTGAAAGGTGCGATTTGAAAATAGTGACCCAGTCTCTCCTTTCAGGGATCCTGTGTGTGGCGGACCAGTGTCACGGGCTGAGAGAGCTGGCCCTCAACTACCACCTCCTCAGCGACGAACTCCTGCTCGCCCTCTCCTCAGAGAAACACGTCCACCTGGAGCACCTTCGCATCGACGTGGTGAGCGAGAACCCGGGCCAGCACTTCCACACCATCAGGAAGAGCAGCTGGGACGCCATGGTTCGCCACTCGCCCAAATTCAACCTGGTCATGTACTTTTTCCTCTACGAGGACGAGTTCGGCCCCTTCTTTAACGACGAGATCCCCGTCACGCATCTCTACTTCGGCCGCTCGGTCAGCAAGGAGGTCCTGGGCCGCGTCGGCCTCCACTGCCCCCGCCTAGTGGAGCTGGTGGTGTGCGCCAACGGCTTGCGGCCCCTCGACGAGGAGCTGATCCGCATCGCCAAGCACTGCACTCAGCTGTCGGCCATCGGCCTCGGGGAGTGCGAGGTGTCCTGCAGCGCCTTCGTGGAGTTTGTAAAAATGTGCGGCAGGAGGCTGTCCCAGCTGTCCATCATGGAGGAGGTGCTGATCCCGGATCATAAATACTCCCTGGACGAGATACACTGGGAGGTGTCCAAACATCTGGGCCGGGTCTGGTTCCCGGACATGATGCCCACCTGGTAGGAGGGGTTGGAGCTCCGCCTCCAAGTCTGAGCGGTAGTGACCTGTTAGGTGCCTACCTGACAAACAAGACAAGCAATTTTATTTTTTTGTTTTTTTCTGCTCTGCATCAGGATAGGTGTGGCTCCGTGTAAATATGTAAGCACTGGTGCAGAAATGCTTTAACATGTGGAACAATTTGCAGGAAATCAGGTTAGCTGCACATCGTTACTCTACCACTTGGCCTACATTCTGCCCGCTGCAACCAAAACGGCTTTAGAGGTTTCCAAGTTAATGCAAACTTAGGTAAGTGGAGGAAGCAGCAGAAGGGGGTTTTAGTTCTTTCAAATGTTGCTGACTGGGATTTTTTTATGTTCCAGACAAGCAGCTGGTTGCTAAAAGCTCTTTTTTTTTTTTACCTGTTTTAACTCATTCAAGGATCTTAAACTTTTTTTTCCAAAATGTCCGACGTTGGCAGAAAGTAACTTGTACATATAGTAGATATTTGTGCCGTGAAGGTGTACAGTGTTGCAGTAACGTAACTGAATCGTCTTTCTGTTTGTACATCAAATGCTCTGTATATTTAAGACATTTTCTTTCTCTCTGTAAAAGAATATCTTTTTTTTTTTTTTTGTAGTGTGAGATTTTTCTACGCACCTTAAATAAAATCCAAATGACAGCTGATGCGGATCAAGTCTGTACGGCCAAATAATGCAGATTTTCTAATGAAGTTTTATATGGTGCCGGCGCCCTGATCAGTCTGATCCCAGACGCCGAATGTTTGGATGATAAAACTATGATCAAAGAAGGAAAACAATCAGTTAACAGTGCCTTGCAAAAGACGTGCATACCCCTGGAATGTCTCCACATTTTGTCCTTCTACATCTTCAAACCTAAAGGTATTTCACAGAGGCAGATCGACACAAACAAAGGGATTAATCGCGATTAATTGATTATTGTAATAATCGTTGACTAATTTAGTAATAGATTAATCGTTAACTGGAGTTTAGAGACTGTAAGATGTGAATTTATGTGAGAGATTAACCAACCCTTCAGCTGCAATTATAACATAATTGTAAAACAAATATAAAGATTTTGCATTTAAGGTGAAAAAAAAAAGCTTTTCCGTCTGTCAATATGCTCTATCCAGATCTCCCCATGTGGAATGTTTTTAAGTTTCACCTGGTTTAATTTCATGAAAACATCTTCTTTAAGGAACCTTTTGCTATCTGATTATTTATCGATTAATAAAAACCAATCGACAAATGAATCGATTTGCATAATAATTGTTACAAGGATACAGGTGAGAAATTAATGGGGAAAAATTTTATGCAGATTTGTCCTCGGAAAGCTGAAAAGTGTGGTGTTTCATTTTTTTAATTTTTTTTTTATTTCCTTAATAGCTCTAGATCATTTAGATCAGATGTAAAGCATATAGGGAGATCATCTTTTAAAGTTTTGACACAGATTTCTAAGTGATTTTAGATCTGGACTTTGACTAGGCCATTCTAACGCACCATTGTCCTTTTCTCTGGATTGGTTAGTGGCTGTATGTATAGAATAGTTGGAATCTATAACATGTTTTTCCTGGGGAAAAAAAAACAGAAACAAACTTTGAGCAGCTTCCATATTCTTGCTGAAGAAGCTTTCCACACAGCATGATGCTGCCACTGCATCTCCTGCACTTGCTGTGTTCCTGACATGGTTAGGAACTTCTGATGGCTTTCTTCTTGCCTTTCATAAAGACCTAATTTCTGGATAAATAAAGCTCTCATGTCAGCCAGTTCTCCCATCTGCATCTCCTCCAAAGTTACCACAATCATCTTGGCATCAGTTTTAATGAAGCATTTTTTTTTGTGTGTTTTCAGACAAACCTCTGAGACCTTCACAGAACATCTGGATTTATATTCAGGTTAAATCACATAAAGGAAGAGTCAATTTACTAATTAAGTGGTTTATAGTGCACACAGATTTATTTAGGAGAAATGATTTTTTAGATTTTTAATTTGGTTTCAAAGTAATTAATGTAGTTGGACAAATTGTGAACACGTTGAAGATGTATGATTCCTTTTACAGGCCACTGTGTAAATAAATGCCGCAGGTGTGTGTAATCACTGCTTTGTAATCATCAATATATCCGACTCTGCAGCTGTTGGCTCTAAATGCACCCTGGGAACGCAGAAGTCAAACCTTTTGTCTCTCAGGTGCATTTATTGGATATATCTCCTTTTATCGGTTTCTGTTGTATCTTCTGCAGTTTGCCTGCTAAAGCTCTAAATCCTGTCATTTTTAGCTACCAGTCACCTTTCTAGTCTTTTCATAGCAACAAACAGGAGCAGGAGAGTTATTCTGCATTAATAACTCCTCTGCTGTCCAACACATTCACCACTTACAGTTAGAAGAGATGTGGCAATTCAGATGAGTGAAACTAATTACTTTTTTTTCCTTTAAGAAGGAAGTCAAATCCACCTGTATATAAAACGCTGTGTGTTTGATCAGTTTCAATAGAAATGTACTTATTTCTTTATTTCACCCAGTCAGGGTTCAGTGTTCGTTCAACCAGCTGCTTTTTGCCTTTTCAAAGACCATAGTTTGAATAAAGGTCACCTTATTTTATTTTTCAGATTTTAGACCTTTGAGAACTTGTGCTTTGTAATTATTGGATTATTAGAATTTATTTTGTGAGTTAGGGTTGAATTCGAAACGCCGTAAACTAGCGAGACCCTTGTTTTTCTTTCTACTCTGGGTCCTCGTCATGCAGGCGGTCCTCAGGTCTACTGCTGCACATTGTTCCAATTTGATCACGTCTTTGTTTAAGATACCTGCTGAATCTATCTCCCCTTTTTCTTTGTACACCAGATCTGATCAACTATCTTAAAAATAATTTAAAAGTAAAATAAATGACCATAGTACCAATATTTTGTTCCTGTCATCCTCATTGCTCCAGGTTTTCCAATAACTTTTAAAGCTCCTTCATTGTTAAAAGTCTGGATCTCTCATAGAAACAGTTTATGTGTTATAAGTGATTTCAAATGACAGCATATGTGTTAAATCAAAGTGAGATCAGCCAATGGTGAAGGAAGTAGTGCAGTGACAACATATTAAACCTTTGGGATCAGAAACATCCTGTTAGAGCTGTTTCTATGGTGACGGACTAATTTTAACTAATCTTATTGATCTTAGACAATCATTTTTCACTGTTTTACTTTTTTTTTTTTATTCAAAGTGTATTTTTCTGCAGACTAAAATAGACATTTCAGGAGGTGGACACACCTCGTTATTATGAGACTGTGTTTTATTGAGCCTCTCTGAAGTATCTAATTGTGTTCGTGTTAATGATACGGAAACATAATGCTTGATTCTTTCGTGCCGTGATTTTGCTTCTTCAAATACAAAAATCAGACCATTTGGTTGTTGGTGTTTTCATGGGACCTGAGAAAATATCACGTTTGGAGGGAAAATTATTTATCCTACTTTTTTTTATACTGACCATCAGAAATAGTTTAGAAGCTCCTTTTTTGGTTAGAAAGTACTCCTTTATGAAAAATAAACTACCTTTTTATGTTGTTTTTGTTTCTGCTTCGGTACAGACAAGTGGTTATGGAAAAAAATAGTTTGTCTACTTTGCTTTACTGGTTCACCTGTCTTTAGTTTAAAAGGTATTGTTTAGGACATGTGATCTTATCCAAAAATAAAATAAATTATGAATGCGCTTGTTGCTCTTGTCTTTTTTTTTTCTACAGCACCATTCAATTCTTAAATGGAGAATAAATACGCTTTAACAAAACCAACATGTCTCCAAAACGACTTTCAGCTACAAGTCTAATCTGTAGATTTTTTTTTTAAGGCATGAAATTTTAAAAGAGAATTCAAAATGTTTTATAACAGGTATTGAGATGTCCATTACAAAAGTATTCACACATTTTGAGCTTTTTTTTTTTTTTTTAAGATTTAGAGACCGATTATTAAAAAAAAATATTTTAATAGAATAACTGAAGTTCAGCCAGGTTGGGTGGTGTCTGCAATCCTCCATTTTAAAGTCCTGCCACAGACTTTACGAACGGGGACTTCACTCATAATCATGCTTTGTTCATTAATCCATCAGCTCTGAGCAGCTTATATGCCCCTGCAGTACCACTGCATGATACAGCCACCACCATGTTTCATCATGAGGTTGACCTGTTCTGGATGATGTTAGTTCTTTGCATGTATGCTAAGGTAATTATTGGTCTCAACATGTCAACATTAAAAGCTGATGTTGGTTACACAAGTCTCAATTTAAAGAAAAGAGACATTAACAAATCAAACAAAACACTAACAATGGATACCAGATAGAGAAAGGAACGACACTCTAAGTGATCTCAATGCATGGCTGCTGATTGCAATAGTGAATCGGCAAAGACATCAGCCAAAAATATCGGCCTCCAGGCTGAACCGTCACAATGACCTTCATCTGCTTTGTTCTTCGGACAACAAGACTTGAGATAGATTACGTTTTAGCAATATTTTTCTTTTATTGCCACTCTTCCATAAATTTGTCTCTGTTTCTTTTTATTTCGGTATGACTTCATCTTTTCACCACAGGGGCATTTTAATAGAAAACACATCAGCCATCGTTAGGTATATGTTTTTTTTAATCAAGTTCATTATCAAAGATATTATTTCACAAATTGTAAAAAAAATAAAAATGGGTTGCATCTAACCAGCTGATTAAGATGTGCTCTCAACAGGATCACTCACTTAATACAGCACCCTCTTAAAATTATGAACATTCCTATAGTGAAAAAAGGCAAACATGTTGAAAAAGTTCACCTTTAAGTTAGTTGGAACTTTAATAATAAAAAAAACAACCATGGACATATATATATATATATATATATGTATGTATGTGTCCAGTTGAAGGAAAGGATTTATTACAAATGAAAACATCTCTTTGAACTGCTGGGAGCTGTTTATAATTTCGAGCTTCAGTGCATTCGTTTGTTGAATAATGTTCCTTTGTCTTTCACATTTGGAAGCCCGTTACAGAGGAAATTGGTTTCTTCATTGTGCAATATTTATATCTCAGTTAGGAATTAAAACTTCATAGATATTTTGACCAACCCTAAGATTATTTAGATGCCCATAACAATATTCATATACTTTTCTAAAGCCGTGACTTGGTAAATGTGTTTCTCTAATATCAGATTTAATTTAAGGCTTTTTGATCATTTTTACTGGGTGTGCCTTTAATTGTAAACACTGCTGTATATGAGGTCAAGTTTAATTCAAGTTAGATTTTTTTTACAACATCTGAGGGAAGGCCCACAGCTTTTGGATCTCCAGAAAAGTAGTTGCTCTGTCTTGAACAGTGTCTTCACCTAGTGGTCAGATAAGGATCATCCACCCAAACAACAAACCAAATCAGCATTAAAATAAACAAGTTGTACTTGAAATAAAAACATTTCCAAGTATCCAGGAAGCTGGTTGCTAAGGCAGTGGGACCTCCTCATATGTGATCTGCACATATGGAGGTTTCATTGGGAGGTGCCAGTACTCAAAGTTATAGTAAAGGTAGAAGCTCTTGTCCAACACTACATCGTGATAAGCCTCCAGCAGACTGAAAGCCAGCTCGAAGATAGACTGGTGCGGTCTGAATGCGTGGTAAAACCGCCGAATGTCCGCTGCAAGGTTTTTTAGAGCGGGCTGCCCAAATATGGCGCTGTCGTTGCCCAGGTAGGTGGGCTCGCCGCTGTACAGGTAGATCTTGGTGTAGTTGGTCTGTGAGCGGCTGGACAGTTTGGCTCCCAGCTCGGTAAGCTTTCTGTATGTGCGGTGGACGAACTGGGAGCAGTCATACGACTCGAACCAAACCGTTGCGTTTGGGCCGGGGTCTGAACGGACCGTCCAAGTCTCGTAGTAGATCCCAGTGTTGTTGTCGTCCTGCACCCACTGGGCCATTGCGTTGAACTGACTCCCTGCAGTAAAAATGAGGGTTTAAGAAAAACAATTGCTGATAACATTTAATTTATGTTACAGAGCCATGAAAGACTATTCCAACTTTAAAGTTTTATATTTAACAGAGGGATTATGTAAAGGAACTAATGCCATCCAAACCCAACTAAGAGAGATAAAATAAAGCAATAGAAGAAGCAATCTGTAAGAGCAAACACTTTTTTCTCTCTACATTTATTCTAAGTTAAAGGTATGCACAAGCTCAACAAGGGCTGGGTATTTTAGCCAAAGTCCTGAATTGATTAGATTTTGATTCATACGGTGCTAAATCGATTAATTTCGATTCGATCTGTTTTTACAACAATGAAAGTGATTCAGTTGTGTATCAAAATACTCATGTATTTTATTTTTTCCTGTCATACTAAACACAAAGTGCAAATTTGTAAATCGGACAGTTTAAACGTGAGATGGGAACAAAACTGTCTCAACTGTGCAAACTTGTTTGTGAAAAGCTATATTTGCAGCTGTCTGGCTTGAACTAATCTTGAGTGCATCTTTCCTGCTCACGCGCGTCACTATAAAACTAATCGATCTCATTCCCTAGACATCGATTTTGCAAAAATGCAAATGAATCGATTCAAAATCGATTAAATAAATTTTTTTACCCAGCCCTATGCACAACCCTGTACCTGCTCCCGAGAGGGAACGCCTATTAAACTCGTCAGAGAGCATGCACAAGCCCATTTCTCCTCCTGATGCTCTGTTTAAAAGTTGCTGTTTACATCGCTCATACGAGCTCACTTTCCAAAAGAAGAGTTGCAATTTCTCCACTATGTCAGACTCACCAGTGGTAAGTGAAAACAGGGATGAGCACGTAGGACGGCATTTAAATAACTGAGCTGGCATACCATAAAAATATCACCAGAATGATTGAAAATTAGGACGACCAGTTATTTTGATGATCCACCCGGAAAAAGAACAATCCCCACTATACCTTTAATGGAAGCTGTATCTGCAGCTTGCAGATCTCTCCACTAATAAAGATGTGGAGGGATTGCTCACCTGTCACTTCTCCGATTTTCTCCAACGTGCCGTTCTGCGACCAGTGTAGGTCATCGATGCCTTCGAAGATGCAGGCGGCTCCCTGGTTGCACCAGAAGGGTGCAGACATGTCTGGCCTCAGGTGAGGGAAGGTGCAGTTGCCCAGCTGGAAGAGCTCGTACCACTCCATGGTGTAGTTGGCTCCAGTCTCCAGACTGCTGAAGCCGATGGCATCGTGCATAATGTGCTGCGTGCAAAATCATGAAACATTGGCTTGGTTCGCTATAGAGAGGATGTGGGAATGCTGTGCAGCTGTGTTTCTATTAATAAAGTCCAACAGATGTCCTTTAGTTTCTATCGTGGCTGATCTGATCATTTTGCCCTTTGCAGAGTATAAAAGTAAACTACAAATAGTCTTTCTATCTAATTATGATGTTTAATCAAAGCCTGAACTCTGAAGAGTCATTTTTTAAACGGTAAGAGGGTGTTACTCACAAACTTGCCCAGCACATCTCCATATTTGAATTCCCACACAGGTGTCTGCAGCCTGTAAACGGAGACGACATCACTGTCTCTGATGTAGGGAAACCGTCCATCACGGTCTCCGGTGGGGCAGAAAGGGTAGAGAGCTTCACAGTAGGAGTCAGCTGGAGGTCGGCGGTCAAAGCGCCTGATAGAGACAGGATGGAAGATTGAGATCAGGTTCCTTTGGATTCCTTGATCCAGTAGTTTAGCATCTGCTATTGTTCCCAGAACGATATGCAAACTTCAAATAAAATTAGATTTGTTTCAGATATGTATTTATGTATGATCAGAGACCAATAATGTAAAAGTTGTCTTTCTACATGCATCTTATTTATCCTGCTTAAAGAAAAGTCAGCTCAACATTAATGAGTTGCATCTAACCTGTTTTTTGAAGGGGTTTTTTTTTTTTACATTACAACCAATTTATTTAACTGGTGTTCATTTGTAATAAACTAAAGCAAAAAGTAGCAATTAATAAAAAAATTTATATACATAAAAATCTGTAAGGTGGGGGCATGTATTTACATTCAGCATCACTGAAAGCTCTAATTCAGGCATCCCCAAGTCTGTCCTCGAGGGCCGCCGTCCCTCAGGTTTCAGGGTTTCCCTGCTTTAGAACAGCTGATTATGATGAAGCTTAAACTGATTTAAATGACACTAGTGGAAAAAGATCAATCCTTATTTTTCTCTCCTGCTACAGCA